TCACGGGCATGAGGTTATCAGTATCGTTCAACGCTCGGTCTTATAAACTGGGAGCCTTGTTGGAAACACGAAGAGCACATCAACACCATTTGGGGGGATTCAGGATGAGCTGGTATACGGGATGCTGGTGTGCACGACGTCCCGCGAGAGCCACTCCCGACCACCCCCTGCCGCCGCTCTCCCTGTGGGGGTGGTGGTGGTGGTGGTTCGTTTTCTTTTTCTTTCATCATGGGAGCATTGTGTGTCTTCTGTCTCACATGCTAGCGCCCGGCAGTCGATGAGAGAGCGCCGATTCGCGTCGGGTAGCGTCGGGGACACTAGCTCCGATTCGCAAGGGCGGGCAAGATGGCACGGGAGGCTCCCATGAGTTGCCGCCGAACTGTTACCAATCTCCATCCCTACTGGGCTGCGGTTGCCCTGCCTCCTCCGCTTCACCGCCCCCGTTCGGGGAAGGCCTTTCGAACACCCAAGGGAATAACCGACGTCCCCATCGGCCACTGCGGCCCAGGCCTGGGTAGTCGAAGGCCAGACTGTCAGATTGGATTGGGCCCCAAGGGCCAATCTGGCCCAGTCAAACTGGATGATTTGGGTTATTCGCCAGACTGGATTCGCGCTGGCTCCCTCGCCAGATTGCCCCCGTTTGCCAGATTGGGCCTGCCAGATTGGCGCCAGATTGGCTTCGCCTACCCAGCAGGCCGCGCCAGTAGGGATAGGGATCGGCTAGAGGATGCTTAGGCTAAACATGGGTTGCGTTTCGGGTTCGTTGTTGGAGATGTTCAAGCGTTTTCGTTTGTTTTCGGCGGTTTTCAAGCCTCGGGTTGCTCTCTTTTGCCGTCTCGGGGCCGTTTTGGATGCCTTTTTTGTTCATCGTGGATCAATATTGGGTCGTGTTGAGTTGGCTGCAAGGCGTGCATGCGAATCCCATTCAAAAACCATGGGAATTCATGGATTGAGTTTTTTGTTTCGGGCCATGTTGGAGGTCCTTGTGCGGTCTTTGCGCAATGTTCGGCCGCCTCGGGGCAATCTTGGGCCGTCTTCGCGACCTCTTGGGCTATTTTGTTGTCCTTGGTTGCCTGCACGGGCCGTCTTCGAAGCTCGGGACGTATACCTTATATCCATGGCTGGGAGGTTCTGGAACGATTGGGAGCAGCGCCATGGAATGCGGGAGGTTTGCGGTCCTCGAGCGGTTGCGCGTGGGAAAAGGAGCATTGGAAGTAGCAGCCGTGCTCAAAGCGCGCAATCCTCGAGCGGGCGCGCATGGAATAAGGGTTCGGGCATTAGCTGCAATGCGGGAAGTGCCCCATCTTTGAGCGGGCACGCGTGGAAGGGGTTTCTGGCATTAGCTGCAATGCGGGAAGTGCACCATTCTTGAGCGGGCACGCGTGGAAGGGGAGTTTACGCATTAGCTGCCATGTGTGAAGTCTACCATCCTCGAGCGGGCACGCGTGGAAGGGGGTGTGGAGGCATTAGTTGCTATGCTGGAACTGCACCATCCTTGAGCGGGCACGAGGGAAGTGGCTTCGGTGAGTAGGGGGATGCTTGCGTGAGTGTGTTAGTAGAGGGGGATGATGGTTCCTCGTTAGATTACAGAAACTTACCACAGTGGCATTCTTCCACGCCTCAGCGTTGCATGGGCGCACGCATGTGAAAACACTCTATCTAGGTGTCGGGGGGTCGGCAGCCATTCATGGGAGCCTCGTGCGTTTTCGGAGGTCCGGTTTTAGAGTGCATTGGCGTGTATTCGAGTTTGGTGGTCGATGAGAGAGCGCCGATTTAGCGTCGACTTTGCGTTGGTTAGCGTCGACTTACAGCGTCGACTAGCGTCGGTGAGCGCTGATTCGCAAGAGCCAGCAAGATGACTTGGAAGGCTTCCATGAGTTGCCACAGAAAGTCGGGGGGTGGACTGGAAGACCTTCCAGGAGTCGTCTCCCAAAGGGGCCTGGGCGCGGGACCGCTCGCGACTGCCGGCGATTTCTTCCCCCCCAATTTCCGAGTTCCCCACAAAACAAGACAGGCCGTTCAGGAACGAGGGGGGGCAGAGCAGCTGCAGGTTGATTAACTCTATGTAGGCCTCCCAAATGTTGACGGAGTAGATGGGTTCGGAGGATCGCGCCGCATCGCCGGTGCATCGGCGATGCGGCTCGATCGGGAGCCTCAAGAGGGGGGTCAGTGCAGACGGGGGTCAGCCAGGGCGCCGGATCCTGCAGGATCCTGCGAAGACCCTCTTTGGCTGACCCGGGTTAGCGAGCCGCTCGTGGCCTGCGTTGGAGTTTTTGTTCCTACATTGCAGTTTTTGGTTTCCTGCTGACCCGGGTCTGGATTGACCCAGGTCAGAAGATCCCCGATTCGACATGCAGCCCGATCTTCTCCACGCGGGCGTCGCCGCGGCATCGCCGATGTCGCCGATGCATCGGCGATGTGGCAAGATCCGCCGACCCCATCTTCTCCGACCCCATCCAGGAGGTCTTCATTGACCTCGCGCGACAAAGTCGTCAGGTGGGCGGGGGGAAGGGGGAAGGGTGGATGGTAAGGGGCCCGTGACGCCATGATTCGCGCGCCGGCGCCGTCTTGGAGTCAGCTACTGGCCAGCCCCAGCAATTCCCAGGTGGCGCCGGCACGAAGCGTGACGTTACTGGACGGACGGGGGGGGGCGTTTCTGGCAACCGCCGTTATCGCGAATGGTTTTAATCGCGCTCTACGCCTGGGTGTGCTGTTCGGACGCGCCCGTGTCGAGCTGGACGCCCCTCTATCGTGTATCCCGATGGGGGCACGAGAAACACGCGGGCCCCGCTTCGTGCAGTGTCAGAGGGGTCCCAGACCTCTTGTTGACTGCTTTGCTCATTGTTTATTTATCTGACGATTGGTTACTTCTGGACGTCTCGAATTCTACATGCGCGTGCTTGATTCGATCGAAGACGCGTACGGCGAACCACCGCCGCCCCGTGCCCGAAGTCTTGCCAGGCTATTGGGCTTCTTGTTCCCCAAGCTATTGTGGAGCCCTTGGGGGGGCACTTTTGGCAGGAGGAAGAGGCGGCGGAGCGGGAGGAGAAGGAAGGGGAAGAGGAAGAGGAGACCTTTGGTGCCCTCGTGGGACCTCCTGGGGGGCTTCCTGGGAACCTCTTGGGGTCCTCTGGGGGACCTCTTGGTGGTCTCTTGGGTCTTTCTGGAGGCTTGTCGGGGTCTCTGGGGCCTCCTGGCTTTCGGATGGCGTTTTAGGCCGGTCTGGGGGCCCTGTTCGGGTGCTTTCTGCGGCCCTCGTATGGCCGTTTTGGTGGCCCTTGGGTCGTCTTGGGGCCCTCTTGGCCAGACTCGGGACTCTCTCGGGAGCTTTTGGTGCTATTTTGGAAGCCTTCTGAGGCCGTCTTCGCATGTCGGAAGCTCGAAAAGGCGAGAATCATAATACCACTGGAGGACGTTAGCGGTACAATTGATGTTGGTTTCTTGGAGGTCTTTTGAGAGCTCTCTTGGGGCGCTTTGGGGCGCCAATTGTCGGATGCCCGCGAAGGGCATGTTTTTTTGTTCTGATTCTAGCAAGTTTGCTTGCATAGCCTTTCCACCTCCAGTCCTCACTCCAGGACCTCCCCCCCCTTAGTCCTCACTCGCGGATTTGTGTTCGCCTTGTTCTGCTTGTGTGGCCCTCGCGGGGCCCCAGGACCATCAAATGTCTACTCACGACGAAACGCTGGTCCCGGGACAGGGGTCGAGTCTTCCAGTTGCGCCGAAAGGTCAGTTCAAGACATCGGACCATTTTGGCGCGGTTCTGCTCTGATCGTGGCGAGTTGATTGCATGGCATTGCCCCCTTCCTCTCCCTCGAAGTGGACACAATTACGGAAACAATTATGTTCGGAGGTCCGCGCGGATGTTGTCTTGGATCTGCGCGGAGCTCGCCTGGCGGCGCCTCCAGCGCGCCGCACCTTGCGCGCTCCGCGCGCCAGGGAGGGCGATCCAGCGTAGATCCAAGACATCCGCGCGGAGCTCCGAAGGTTTAACCATGTTTAGACACGTGTTTCTTGTGCTCACCGTCTTCCCTCTCCTCTCCGCCGCCTCTTAAGAAGCACCCCTGGGCCGAAGAGGCTTTCCGGTGCGAGATGTGTCCAGGCTTCCTGCGCGTGCCCCTCCCGCCTTCCCCCTCCAGGCAAGACAGCTTGCCGGGGAGGCGCGGGCCTGGGCGAGGGCGGCGGGGCCGCTTTCCCCGGAGGGGGGCGCGGTCGGCCCAGGGCAACCCCTTGCGCCGTCACTCGAGGCGGGCCCAGGGAACTGTCGCGACGCGAAGAGGTCACGACGGGAGACTTCGGGAGGTGTTCTGCCTCGGGGGGCCCTCGCTGGGGTCCCTGGGCCGTCAGGAAGAGTGTTCCAGGATGGAAGGCCGGCCTTGGGGGAAGGCTCTGGTTGGATGCGAGGGCGTATCGGAAGAGTGAAGGCATTGTATGCGTGGGGTGCCTTCCTGCAGTCGGGCCGCTGGAGAGGGAACCCTTCTCGCAGGGGAGGGGCTCAGTGCTCCCGGATTGCTCTTACAGTTTGTCTTAGGTTCTCCTGACGTTTTCTATCGGACTTGAAATTTTAGGTATGGAGAACAGGAGCCTCGTTCCGTCTTTCGGGTTCCTTCGGACATCGTCTCAATTGTATTTGGGGCAGCGTCGGGGTCGCCAAGGGCAGAGGGGGATCCAAGGAGGACGAGGACCGCAGGAGGATGAAGAGGAGTGGATTGGCGAGCGGCTCCAGTTGGCTTCCAGACAGTTCCAGCCAGTTCAAGGTGGTTTCAAAAAAGGTCTCAGGTGGCCGCAATACGGTTTCGAGATGGTCCCCAAGAGGGCACCGAGAGGCAAACATCGCCCTAATGTTCAAGCAACACGCATATTTCTAGCATATTCGCTCTTTTCGGGCATGCGCAGCCTCCAAGACGGTCGAAGAAGGCCCCCAGCCCGCCCCAAGACGGCCCAAGGAGGCCCCCAAGAGTGCCCCGAGACGGCGCCAGGTGCCCCCAAGACCGGCCCATGAGCGCCTCCACAGCCGTTTTGCCTCAAGCCTTTCTCTGGCGCAAGGCCCGACGCTGGACCCACTCGCTTGCTCGACCGACCAGTCGCCCGTGGGCCGCACGCGGCTATGCCCCTCGTGCGCGCATGCCTGTGGCCGCGACGAAGGCGAGCACGGCGGCGAGGGTGACGGTCCTGACCCGCCTCCCGATCTCCCTCGGCGTGGCGCTCCGCTGGCTTCGCTGGGCGCCAGGACGGCATGCCGGCCGGGTCCTCCTGCATCGCGCCGCTGCTGCTCGGCTCGCTGCTGCTCTGCGTCGTGCTTCTCTTCCTCCTCCTCGCGGTGCACGGCCGCGCGGAGGCCCGCAAGGCATGTAGCAAGAAGTATGCCAGCGCCAGCCTCCTAGGTATCTTTTCCGCGTTGACCTTCGTCCTCGAAAACTTCGCGCTCGCGAACGGCCTCAGCGCGACCTTGGTGGTTCTGCTCAACAAGTGCGCGATTCTGCCGGGCGTCATCGGGGAGACCTGGCTGACGCGGACCGCGCCGTACCGCGCGCAGCTCCTCACCATGGCGGCTTTGCTCTTGTGCATCATCGTCTACTCTCTCGGCGACGAGGGCGAAATCAACATGTCGCTCGTCGGGTTGCTCTTGGGCCTTGGTGCAGCCCTCTCAGACGCAGTCGGCGACATCACCTTTGAGGCCACGGCGAAGTCCTGCCTCGACGACCTGGAGGAGGATTCGGGTGCCGAGACGCCCAGGTGTTCCCTCGTGAACGAGGGGTACAAGTCCGTGTCCAACATCATTATGATGCTCGTATTCGAGCGCGAGCACCTGTCGCGGGGTTTATTCCATGGCTGGGGCTTCCCCATGCTGCCATGCCGCTCCCCGTGATGGTCTCGCTTTACAACACGGCCATCTTGACGGCCGGCAACTTGAAGACCAGGATCGCTGCGTCCGCCGATGTCATCATCGCCTCCATGATGGATACGCTTATCTTGGGTGGCACGGTCAGGGTATCAACATTATCGAAGGCGCCTACGGTAAATCACCTCCGCCCCCTGCCTTACAGGATACGACTGCGTTGCCAAACGTTTCGGCCGGGTCTTGTTTCTCTTGGACCATGCGTTCCCCAAGCCGTTGTGGAAGCCCTTCGGGGAACACGTAGGGGAGGAAGTGGAGGATGAGGACAGGGAGGAACAAGGCGGATGAGGAGAAGGGTGAGAAAACCTGTTCGAAGTTTCTTGTGTCATTTTTGGGGTCTTCTGGGAGTTTCCCAGGGGGATTCTTGGAGGTCTCGTGGGGGCCTACTTGGGCCTCTTAGAGGCCTTTGGGGGCTTCTCGGGGGCGTCGTTGGCCGTCTTGCTGCGGTCATGGCCCATCTGACGCCGTCGGAAGCAGTCTTGGGAGCCTTTCTGGGCCGTATTGGGGCCCTCTTGGGGAGCTTCAGGGTCGTCTTGAAGGTCATCTTGGGTGTCTTGGAGGCCTCGGGCATCTTGGAGGCCTCTCGGGCCGTCGTGGAGCCCTGTGGGAGCCGTCTGGGACCCTCTTGCTCCGTTGTGGGGACATATTGAATGCCTTTGGGGGCGATTTTGGGACAATATTTGGGGCCTCTTGGGCCGTCCTGGGCCGTCGGACGGCCATTTTGACGCAAATGCCAACATCCTTCAACAACCCATGGTAATCAATGATTTGGGCATCTTGAAGCCTTCCTGAAGGACCTCTTGGAGGCCTCTTGGGTCGTTTTCGGTGCCTTTTCTGCGCTTCTCGGGCCGTCTTGGTTTCTCTAGGAGCACCTTGGCGGTCTTGGAGACATCTTGGGACCGTCTGGAGGCCATGTTGGGGCTATCTTGGGCTCTCTTGGGGTCATTTAGGTCGTCTGGGAGGCATCTTGGAGGCCACCTTGGGCCATCTTGGTCGTTCGGAGCCAATGTGGCCAACGAAGACCGACATTTGTGCATCTCTCCAGGTTGTCGGCGGCGTCGGCCGAAGCCCCAGGGGGAATTCTAAAAGAACCAGAACCATCTGAAGTTCAGCACGCCAGGCACCCCTGTGGCAAGCCAACAGGGGGCGGCCGATCGAAGACGCCTTCGGCGAATCACCGTCGCTCCTTGTTTTTTTTGGAAGCGCCTGTGTGGCCGAAAGTTGGGCAAGATAGAGCTCTGACAAACTATCGGGCCATGTGTTCCCCCAGCCGTCGTTGAAACCATTCTGGGAGCTTCCTGGGGGCCTCCTGGAGGCACTCTTGGGGTCTCCTGGGAGCTTTCTGGGCGCCTCTTGGAGGCATCTTGGGGGTCTCTTTCGGCCTCTTCGGAGTCTATGGGGGCTTGTTCGGGGCCTCTCTGGCCGTCTTAGGGCGTTCCTGGGCCGAAAGTTTGGCAAGATCGAGCTTGGCCAAACTATCGGGCCATGTGTTCCCCCAGCCGTCGTTGAAACCATTCTGGGAGCACGCGAGGAAGAGGCGAGTGAGGAGAAGAGGACATCGGATGAGAAGGAGGAGGAGGAGGAGAATGAGGAGGAGCAGGAGGAGTAGACCTCTTGTGAGCCTCTTGGGGCACCCTTGGGGTCTCCTGGGAGCTTCCTGGGCGCCTCTTGGAGGCATCTTGGGGGTCTCCGTTCGGCCTCTTCGGAGTCTATGGGGGTTTGTTCGGGGCCTGTCTGGCCGTCTCAGGGCGTTCCTGGGCCGAAAGTTTGGCAAGGTCGAGCTTGGCCAAACTATCGAGCCATGTGTTCCCCCAGCCGTCGTTGAAACCATTCTGGGAGCACGCGAGGAAGAGGCGAGTGAGGAGAAGAGGACATCGGATGAGGAGGAGGAGGAGGAGGAGAATGAGGATGAGCAGGAGGAGTAGACCTCTTGTGAGCCTCTTGGAGGCACTCTTGGGGTCTCCTGGGAACTTCCTGGGCGCCTCTTGCTCTTGGGGGTCTCCTTCGGAATCTGTGCGGGCTTGTTCGGGGCCTCTGTGGCCGTCTTAGGGCGTTCCTGGGCCGTCTGACGCCGTCGGGAGCCATCTTTGGGGCCCCTCTGGACCATCTTGGGGCCCTCTTGGGGTGCTTCAGGGCCGTCTTCGAGGGCATCTTGGCCGTCATGGAAGCCAATCGGACCTTCTTGGGCCTCCTCCGGGCCGTCTTGGGTGCTTCTTGGGCCGTCCCGGGGGCATATTGGAGGCCTCTTGGGCGTTCTCGGAAGGATTTTTGGGGTCGTCTGAGGCCGTCGGAGGGCCGAAAAAAGCAACTGTAAAGCACAAACCTTTGGAACGCCGATTACAATCAATGTGTTGGACATCTTCGGGCCATCCTGGAGGACCTCATGGAGGTCTCTTGGGGGCCTCTTGGGCCGTCTGGGGCCGTCTTGGAGGAGGCATCTTGGACTCTCTCGGGCCGTCTTGGCGGTCATCTTGGGCGAACTTGAGGGCAAATTTGGGTAATCTTGGCCGTCTTTGGCCATCGAGGCCGTCTTGGAGACTTTGGTTGCGCAGCGGCGTGCTGGGCCGACGCCCCAGGAGGATTGCTATTCTAGAAAACAAAACCAGGCCGTACAGTTCAGCATGCCGGGCACCCCTTTGGCAAGAGCACAGAGGGCGGCGGATCGAATGGCCTTCGGCCCATCCCGCCACCGTGCCCAGGTTGTGGGTCAGAATTCTCAGGGATGCTTCTTTGGGTCTCTTCGGAGCGCTCTCGGGGGCATCTTGGGGGAAGTTTGGGGGCCCCCATTTCTGCCCCCTCTTGGAGCTGTTTTTGGAGCCTCTTCGGCCGTCTTGGGCGCCTCTTGGGCAGTCTTGGGGACCTCTTGGGCCGTTCTTGGGACCCTCTTGGAGGCCTCTTGGGCCGTCTGGGAGCGTCGGGAAGCCGAAAAGGCGAGAACGCTTAAAAACCGTTAACGACCTGAGGGAAGTCAATGATTTGGGCCTCTTGCGACCCTCCTGGGAGGCCTCTTGGAGGCCGCTTGGGGCGTCTTGGAGGCCTCTCGGGCCGTCTGGAGGCCATCTTGTGCGTCTTGGAGCGGTCGCTCGGCGACTCTGCGCCCTCTTGGACCGTCTTGGAGGCGCCTCTTGGGGCCCTCTTGGCCCGTGTTTGGGTCCTCATGAGCCCGAAAAAGTCATGCCGGAAGCCGCGGGGGAGCCCATGGGAACTGCGGGGGAACCACAAACATTGTGAAGCGTGGGTCCAGGCCCCTTAGGGATCGAGGACAGAAGATCGAGGACCTGAGGACACGCCCTCTCCGTGTTCCGAGGCACGGTGGCGGATAAATTATAGTTCCCCATACCCTGAGGATTGGGCTCTGGTTGCTACTCCGACCGCGCCGACTCCTCACCTTCACCTCCCTCCTCAGCAATGTCCTCACAAAACTACGATCATGGTGATGATGATGATGATGAGCAGGAGGAGGATGACGATGTTGACGATGATGATGATGATGATGATGATGATGATGATGATGATGATGATGATGTTGATGATGATCATGCTAATGATCATGCCGACGATGATACACTTGATGCTGATGCAGATAATGATGATGATGATGCTGATGATGGTGGCGATGATGATGATGATGATGATGATGATGATGATGATGATGATGATGATGATGATGATGATGATGTCGATGCCCATGCCGATTATGATGAGTATGATGATGATGCTGATGCTGATGATTATGTCGATGGTGGTGGTGCTGGTGACGATGGTCACGACGATGATGATGCTGATGAAGATGCTGATGAAGATGGTGGTGTCGATGAGGATGTTGATGATAATGAGGATGAGGATAATGATGAGGACGCTGCTGCTTCTGATGATGATGAGTATGTTGATGCTGATGCTGATGATCATGATGCTAATTCCCCACATCCACAGGGTTGGGTTCTTCTAATTGCTCTGACCGCGCCGGTTCCGTCTCCTCCTGCTTCTCCCCCTCTCGTATGATGATGAGCTTGATACTGGTGTTGATGATGACGATGCTGATGATAGTGATGAGGACAGTGATGAGCACGGTGATAAGGATGATGACGCTGATATGACGATGGTGATGGAGATGGTGATGATGATGCCGACGATGCTGATAATGTTGATGATGATGTTGATACTCATGATGATGCTGATGATGACGATGACGATGTTGGTGGTTCTTGTGACGATGATGACGACGATGATGCTGATAATGATGATCATGGTGATGATGATAATGATGATGGTGACGAAAATGAGGGTGCTGATGATGATGCTGATGATCTAAGGGCTTACGCCACATCCGCCGACCCCTTGTTTTTGCTACCAGGGCGGTTGGGAGCATTTGGGGCGCCACCTTTTACCTGAGTTCAAGGCTTGCCTGGAGGCCGGTGTTGGAGGTCGGCCTGCTCAGAGAAGGAGGAGGTGTAGGGGGAGCAGGATGGGCCTGGGGGAGGAGTGGGGGTGCGAGAGATGCGGCGAGGCCGCTCCTTGTCACGATATACTCCGAGAGGGCCTGGACAGAGAGGCCCCCAGAGTCAGAAACGGCGCTCTCGCCCGAGACCTCCTAGCAATTCAATGAAGCTGCTGGGGGCCCTATTGCAACCAGAAGGGCTCCCGCTTCATGCGTCCTCACGATTTACTCAGAGTCACCCTGGCCAGAGAGGCCACGGGCCAGGGCTGGTTCAAATTCTGCCAGCCCGCTCTGTGGAGGCCTGTCGTTGCTCCGCCCCGAGGGGTCGTTCCAAATCACGTTTTCGCGGTGTACGCATAGTTTGGGGGTGCCGTTGCATTACTGCTGCTAATACTACTACTACTACTACGACTACTACTACTACTACTACTACTACTACTACTACTACTACTACTACTACTACTACTACTACTAGTACTGCTGCTATACTACTACTGCTGCTGTACTACTACTGCTGCTACTACTACTACTACTACTACTACGACTACTACTACCACTACGACTACTACTACTACTACTACTACTACTACTACTACTACTACTACTACTACTACTACTACTACTACTACTACTACTACTACTACTACTACTACTACTACTACTACTACTACTACTACTACTACTACTACTACTACTACTACTACTACTACTACTACTACTACTAC